AAATAGGACCTCCAATCCTAATTCTTTGAGGTATCTCCATACTGATTCCACAGTGGTTGCACCAGTCTACACTCCTATCAGCAGTGGAGCAGGGTTCCTCTTTCCCCACAGCCCCCTCTGGGATTTGTCATTGATTTATTTCTTGATAGCAGCCATTCTTTCTGGGGTGCAGTGGAATCTCAGTGTTGGTTTCATTTGCATCTCTCAAACTGCCAGTGATGTTGAACATTTTTTCATATGTTCATTTTCTATTTCTACTTCTTTGTCTGAAAAATGTGCATTTCAGATGTCCATTTTTGGACTGGGTCTTTAAATTTGGGAAGTCTGATTTTTGTAAAGTTCTTTATCTATTCTAGATAGTAGACCTTTGTCTGAGGAAGAGTTGGTGAAAATTTTTCCCACATTGTGGGTTGTCTCTTCACACTTTTGGCTGTTTCACTTGCTGTGCAGAAGATTTTTAATAAGAGATCCCACTTGTTGATTGTTTGTACTAGTTCATGGGCAACTGAGGTTTTGTCCATAAAATCTTTTCCTACACCAGTGTCTTCAAGAGTTCTACCTAACCTCTTTTCCAGTAAGTTTACTGTTTCTGTTTTACTATTTAAATCTTTAATTCATTTCAATTTTAGTTTAGTGCATGGTGAGAGATATAGGTATAGTTTTAATCTTTGGCAAGTTGAAACCCAGTTTTTCCAGCACCATTTATTAAAGAGGCTATCTTTCCTCCTGTGAGGGTGTTTGGCTCCTTTGTTGAAGATGAGGTGGCTGATGTATTCTGATTTTGTGGGGTGGAACACTCTGTAAACATCTGTTAAGTTCATTTTTTCAAGAGTCTGATTGAGTTCTACTATTTCATTGTTTATTTTTTGTCTAGTTGATCTATTTGTGACAACAAACAATGTTGAGGTCTCCCACTACTATTGTATTAGTGCTTATATGATTTTTCATGTCCATTAGTATTTGTTTTATATAGTTGGGTACACTTGTGTTTGGTGCATATATATTTATGATTGTCATCTCTTCTTGGATTGTTCCCTTTACAGTGATGTAGTGTCCTTCTTTGTCTTAATCAGTGTGGGTTTGAAATCCACTTGATCTGCAAAGAGGATAGCTATTCCTGCTTTTTGGGGGGTTCCTGTTGCATGGAATATTGTTTTCCACCCTTTAATTTTCAGTCTGTGAGTTTCTTTAATTAAGTGTGTTCCTTTTATGCAGCATATTGTTGAATTTTGCTTCTTGACTCATTCTGACAGTGTTTCTTTTGATTGGTGAATTGAGACCATTAACTTTGATGTATATAACTAATATGTATTGACTTATCCTTGTCGTGAATTTTTCATGGATTTTGTTGTATTCTCCCCCTTTGTATTTAACTTCTTGTTGTGCCTGATGGACTCATTCTGCTGGGCTTCCTGGGATTGTGATCCTCATTGTCTTTTCATAGGATATTGTTTAAAATTCTTTGGAGTGCTAGTTTAGTATTCATGAAGTTCCTAAGGTGCTTTTTGTCATGAAAGTATCTTATTTCTCCATCAATTTGACAGATAGTTTTGCAGGGTGCATCAGTCTGGGTTGGAGGTTGTTTTCCCTTAGGCCTTGAAATATGCCAACCCAGGCTCTTCTTGCCTTGTGGGTTTGTGTTGAGAAGGATGCAGTGATTCTGAGGGACTTTCTTTTATATGTGATTTGTTTCTTTTCTCTAACTGCTTGTAGAATTTTGTTCTTCTGTTGGGTTTCTGGAATCTTAACTATTATATGCCTATGTGTATATTTTTTTGATCATGGCTATTATAGTTGGAGTTCTATAAGCCTCACTTATCTGTATGTCAGGTTCTTTTATCCTGTTTGGGAAGTTTTCTGCCATTACTTCAGTGGACAGTTTTTTATGTGGTCTGTACTCTCTCCTGTTTCTTCGCTGACTCCAATCAGTCATATTATTCTTCTTTGGATCATCTAGCAGCTGCTGGATTGATCTCTCATGGTCCCTTACTATTTTTTAAATATTTTTCTTTTCCTGGTCATTAATTGCAATCCTGTTTTCTGCATCTGAAAGTCTGCCCTCCTAATGGCTCACTCTGCTGTGTAAATTTTCAGTGGAGTTTTTAATCTCTTGGAAATCTCTTTGCAACTATTTTATGGATTCCATTTGTTTCCTGTGTTAGGATTCTATCATGTTTCTCAGCTACTCTATTTTTTAATCTATGGTCTGCTCTAGAGCTATTAATTATTTCTTGTACTATGGGCACAATCTCTGCTGTTACCTGAGAAATTATTTGTGACTTCATTTTTTCCAGATCCTCTTTTGTTGCCAGTTCAGGGAGTCCAGGTGGTTGAGTATCACATTGTTCTATCTTGTTTCCCTTTGAGGTTGCCTTAGGTGATCTGGAAGTCTGGTTTGGGGCCTTTTTTTCTGAGACTTCTCATTTCAACATATGCAGCCTGCTGTGCTTTTATTGAGATAACTTTTTGCTCACACAGTGGTCTTCAATTCTCACCAAGCTAACAAGATGCATTTTTCTCTGCTGCTCACTAGTACACCAATTCCTGGGTTCAAACCACCAATGCTATGGGGCAGACCTCTGACTGAAGCTTTTGTGCCTCTGCAGCTCACTCCTGGGTGGGCCTAGGGTGGATGGGCTTGGCAGAGTTTCTGGGGCTGGCGTGGATCCCTGGCTGGCATTTGCCTGCAGCCAAGCTGGTCTGGACCACACCAATGCTCACTGATGAATTTCTGCAGCCACGAGGAAAGAATGTAAAGTTTGATTGGAAAAGCCGGAATCACTCAGATCCCCAGTTGAAAAAAAAGGGCTGCCAGCTAAATGCATCTGAATGAATGATAGTTGCATTATGTTACAACAGTAATAAACCTTCTCATGCAAGCCCTGGAGGAAGGTGATACATGATAAATGCATATGTCCTAGAACAGGTAAAAAGAACATTTGGAAATGACTTTATCTACCATTTGATGGCTAGGCATAATTTTTGATTTGAGAGACAGATACTTAGATTATAGGCCATGGATGTAGTGAGACTAAAATATTTGGATTTTATGTGCACTTGTTTCTTATATTTTAAGCCAAATTTAGTAAGTTAAAAAAAATGCCTTTATAGCATGATAGTTTACTAACACTTAGGTTTATAGGGTACATTGCAGTAATGAAGTATAATTTTTCTCACTAGAGGGCAGTAGCTCCAAATACTGCCAGTATGATTTTCTGCTCTTTGCCATCAACTACAGGGTTAATTTTAGGTGCAGCTGTTCTGTGACAGCGATAAGGAGATGCGGCAAGGTAAGGAGCAGTTAGCTGTGGTGTCGTGGAAGCTTTTTGAGCTTTGAATTCAACCTCATTCAGGTCTCTAATAACTTCCTTCCATGTGAGTCTCATGGTATCTCATTAGTACCCAGAGCTGCCTCAGTCTGCCAAAACATTCTTTAGTGGGATAGTTCAGATTCCTTAGATTATGAAGCCAGGGAATTGCATACTACTAAAATTATTCCTGGCAGGGCACTGCCTGACCAGACACCTGCTTTTGAACTCTCTCATGTGGGGCTCAAGTCCTTTGTGCCAGAAAGCCCATATGAACAGGAACTCAAGGTCATGGCTAGTGCAGACCTCTGTGAGATTTTGTTTTGCTCTTTTGCAAGGTTCAGCCTCTCCGGCATCAGCACAGATTCACTATGACAAATAAAACTGACCAAATAAACCAACTGGGGGTCTGTTGCCTTTAATGTCTCACAAATGGCTACGGTTCTCGTTTCTTTCAGATTCCCATTTTTATGGGAACACCAAATTTGGTTTGCTCATTCTTCCTTATAAGGAAGTTACATTGAACATTTCATGTTTAGAGTTTGATTGACAATGCTTATAAATCTTTTGTGCAAAGGAACAAAATGGACTTGAAATTCATGAATAGCTGAATGGTTAACCGTCTTTGGTCATTTTTGTGCTAGCCCATTGTTTTGGGGGACTACTTCCAGGTGAGCATGCTATCTAGATGTTTCCATGGTGACAAAAGGCTGGCCTTTCACGTTGGGAAGTGAAAGCAGTTTGTGTCCCAGCTAGATGCTAAGAAGCTCATTTTCATCTCATTAGAGTCTTCTTTCTAGAGGGTGACAGAACAAGATTGTTGGGCTGCATCTGAATGGAATCTCACTGCTCCTAATTCTAGAGCTAGCAAACTTGACTACCCTCAGCAGTATGAAGTCCATAGGCACAGTCTCTACAAAGGAGCTAGAAACCAAAAGCTAGACCCAGTTGTTGCCCCCAAAGAGCTGCCAGTCCAGAGACCTCATTCCACTTCTCTCTCTCCCTTTCATTACCCTTTTGTCTAATTTGCTTTCAACACAATCATGCAAAGACTCTTTTTTCTCTTAATGTTCACCTACAACTCTCACCAAATCTGTACTAGATTGCAGTATTTCTCCCTTCGTGAGGCTGCATCCCTGCCCATTGCCATGGGACTTGTGGTGCCTCTCAGTAGGTAGAGTAGTGTCAGGCTTCCTCACATCCCATGCTGGGGCCAACGGCATGTGGACAGAAGTGAAAATGGGCCAGTATGGAACAGAAGGTTTAAAAGGTGGCATAAAGCTTGAAGCTAGAGCTGCCTGCTTCTACCCTTTGTTTTTCCTTCTGTCCTGATCCAAAGAGACTTCTCCTTTGTCTTGGGTCCTGCAATCAGATGGCATTACAAACAACTACAGCCAGTCTGTAGTTGCCAAAATGTGGTACAAGTGAAAAATAAAAGTATGTTGATATAAGCCATGGAGAATTTTAGGGCTATTTGTTACTACAGCAGAGCTGACTAAAGTAAACACCAGATCATAAATAATAAATGGAAGCTATAACAAATACAACAGTCTCAATTCCCAAGTCACCTTTATTTCTGTAAAAGTATATAGAATAAATTATCTCAATATATACAAACAGAATTTATATAAATAGAAAATTCTAATATACAAAACCTTTTAAAAATTACATAAATATGTTAGCCATAGTAGCTTTACGTACCTTAAATCATAAACTTTATGTAGTTTCTGTCACTAGTAGTCTTATAAAAATATATAGTTAGCTGTCAGATGTTTAATAAACACCATTTAAGTCAGTTAAAGTGCTGAACTGAAAGGTACCCAAAATACATGTCTCCTGTATTTAACACAATATAAAAGTTTGCCAATTAATCTGAACTTCCAAGAGCACTCCTAGAAAAAAAAAAGAACCTAAACACCATATTATAAAAGAACAGATGTACATTAGAAGTCTACCCAATTTCCATTTTGTTTTCCAATAGCATTTGAAGTCAGCCTCTTGAAAGTTCTCCCAAAGTTCACCACAGATATTTTAAGGCACTGTTCAATTGTTTTTGCCTTGATGGCCTAGTTTCTTTCTGAGTGCAGAATATACAATCTAAGGCATGATATGTGCAAAAGGTACCATAGTGTATAGTGTTAAAAATTAAAACAACCTGGAATTGGTTGTACTATTTGTTACATTCCAAAGTGAGTGACGTTGATATCAATATCACAGCGCTGACTGTAATAACAGGTTACATAAGGAGGTTTCTTAAACCCACAGGGCTCCATGTTCTGTGTGGTTGCACAGGTTCTCCGAGACATTCTTGGTCCTAATGCAATGCAGCATGTGCAGGAGTGTGCAGCTCCAACTGCACTTCCTCTATGCAATGCTCAGTGGTGAGCCTTCCTTCCCACTCTGCCCTGCTTTGGCCTTTCTGCACTTGTGCAGAGACAGGGACAGGATGAGGGCAATGATGATGATCAGAATCACTGCTACCACGATGAGGAACATTTCTGAAAAACAAAAGGTACCGAATCAACTTGGAATGCTCGGATCCCATTTACCAGTAGGCAGAACCACCGACACGACTCCAAATCACACCATCCAGCCTTTGTGCAATTTGAAATTTCTTTCACTCTTGCCCCCAAATTTACATGGGGAACAATCTGTCAAACTCTACATATTTTAGAGAAACTGATAATGGTTAGAAGTACCGAGTGAGCTAGGAAAGAACATGTCATTAGAAGTAAGAACAGCTGTTGGAAAGGTGGCTGAAGATGTCACTGAGTTTGATGACAGTGATTTCAGCAGAAGATGAATGGCAAGGGAAAAGAGATGCAAAACGCTATCAGAATGAGGTGAGGAAAAGACTGTGACTGGCAGATGCAGTGTGGTGACTTCCCGGTGGGGTTCACCTCTGAAATACTTCTCAGAGGACACACTTCAGCAAGCAAAGAAAAGACAGGGAGAAACCTGGCTGTACACAAAGGTAGAGGTGGCAAAATTAGAGCAGGTTGCATTTTTTCTATTTTCCTAATTTTTTGTTTTATTAGCACCTCTTTGAAATCCATGCAGTTTACAATTATCTTGGGGAGTGGTTACATGTATGTACCACAGCTTGTTTTTTTTTTAATCCTTTCCCCCTTTCCTCCTCTATAGTGGGTTTTAAACACTGAACATGAGTGCTGAGAGTAGAATGTCCCAGAGGGGTGCAGGACCAAAGGGAAAATGTCAACAGCAATAAAAGGAGTGAACATTCTTATTTGTTACTTATAGTTAGGCCAACACGTTGATTTCTATTGTTACAATTTTGTCAGGACATGTAATTGTCTATTTTTGTGCATGTCTACTTTTTACATTTGCTTTTCTCCTTTATTCTACACAAGAATAAAAGCATCTTGGAATAAGAATAAGCATCTTGGGAAAATTTTAAGATTTGTTCACTAACAAATATTCATGCTTGGTAGGGTTGGAACTCAGTAAAAGGTTATTTTTTTAGAAAATTTTATTTAAAAGTATTTTTATATTTTAAAACCTTGTCTTAACAGAGAAGTGGGTCGCCATGATTGTCCTCTGTTCATGAGAATACTTAATGCACTTTCCCTGTGAGGCTGGAGAAAGACTCACACTTGCAGCCTCTGGCAATGTATGAAAAGCAGAGCACGTATCTGAACACTACGCATGTCCATGTGCACACACACGTAACCCCTGTGGTAACAGTTCATCGTGGTGGGTACATGAGCTGGTCCATCAACTACTTCCTCAAGGATCAGAGCATCAGCAGGAAAAAAGCCCAGAGAAAGCTGTGTCTTGAAGCTAAATCCTAAATATAAAATAAGCCCAGGGCTCCAGAGAGTTCAGCACACAAAAGGTACTCAGGGAAACACTTGTAAAAGCAAGGGAATCACAATGAATCATTTCCAAAGGCCCAGGTCTTAAGAGAACACAAAACCCTAACACGATCAAGGTCCTTTCTCCCTGCAGGTTTAACAAAAGAGTACATCTTGGTTCTGAGATAGGGTATCCAAAGCTCCCAGATGAAGGACTGATAGGCCACTTACGTCTGAATACACCTTTCTCTTGCCTTGTACACTGAATGGTGCTTTCTGGACTCTTCTTGTTAGCTTTTCTGGATGGAGTCTCAGCTTGAACAAGGAAACAGTAATCTTGTCCTTTATCTACATCAACCAAAAACTCATTTGTATTTGTCGTGGCTGTTTTCTGTGAAAAGATAAAGAGTTCTTGGTTCATCTGGGCTGCATGTGAATTCTTTTCCTTTTTATTAAGTCGCTTTGGAAGTAAAAACCTGGGCACCAAGAAATCCCGTGTGTACACAGCTGACACATGAAGAGTTGCAAGTGACATGGCTGATCAATTACTACTGATATCTACTAAGGGTGCCTTTTGCAAGAGTGAAAAGATCCAATTTAGGAAGGGTTAACCCAATTTAGCCCCTTTAAAAAATACCTTCAGGAAAAGAAAGAAGGAAGGTTTAATTATTAAACAGAAAGTAAGTTTTGGGGCTGGGGATGTACTCAGTGACAAGAGCATTTGTGTAGCGTGTGTAATGATTTACAGCTTCATACAAAAAAGAAAGGGAAGGAAAGAAAGGGGAAGGGGAAAGGGAGGGGAGGGAAGAGAAGAGACTAAATTTCATCTCTCGGACAGGACTCCAAAAGATTATAATGTCCCAACTCTTGGCTGAGAAACCTGGGGGCCCTGGGAGTTTTTGTGCCCAGTCACAAGGCAGCTCGGTCATGGGCAGAACCAGGACCTGTTGTCCTGCCCCTTCCCACTGTACCATGGTACATGCTCAATCACCCCGTTCTGCTATGTCTGAAGTGGGGAAGAAGTGGGCTGTAAAAGTCAAGGATCCCAATTTAAACAAGGTATAAAAACAAATGAAAAGAACCTCACCTTCCCCGTAGTTGAAGCTCTCCAATAATAAAGTGTATAACTTAAGCTTTTGCCAAAAACATCCCGAAGCCTTAGTAGAGTGCCATTGCCTCTGGCTAACGTCTGTGTATCCTGTACTGTCACATTCAGTTTTGTTCCAACTTGTTTAAAACTCTGAATTTTTGGCTGTCCAAGCTTTGCTGAAATGTGGAAAACGGGCTTAGTTGGAACCAAAGAATTCTATCCAGAGTAAACTTTATTTAGTTATCACAGTTAACAACTCCATCATGTCTCATAGAAAACACTGGCACAGAATCAACACTGAGCTAGCAATAGCCATGGTGGCCTTAGAGCAAGAACCTAAGACAAACCAGGGCAGTGCTGTCCAAGGGGAATATGATAGGAGCCTCAGACAAACTGTTAAATTTCTGCATAGTTACATTAAAAAAAATAAAAGAACAGGTGAAGTCAATTTTAATAATAAACTTTAACCCAATTATATGTAAAATATTATCACTTTAACATGTAAGTATATAAACACTGTTTGAGATACTTTACATTTTTCAAAATCCAGTATGTATTTTATACTTACAATATTTGTCATATTTCAAGTGGTCCATGGCCACGTGTGGTTAATAGCCATCAGACTGAACAGTGCAGTTGTACAACACTCTATATTTTATGCACAATAACTTGCGGGCTCTGGGAAAGCCCAGGAAATGTCCTCAGTACATCAAGAAATCAGTTGTTATGGTTTGATCTTGGCAATGACTCCATTTTATCGCATGTGCTTTGGTGGAATGACAGTAAAAACTAATCCCAAGCATTTACCATTCTATGCAAGCCACAGGGCGAAGTATGGGTGATAATGTATGCACAGACACAAAATATACGTACAAAATATATTCTCTTGTGAGCTGGCAAAAGGTTTGAACTGGAGTACAAAAACTCAAGAATTATAAGAGGAAATCATGAAGATATCATCGACTAGGGGGGAACAACTATCAATGATCCTGCAAGTACTGGAGGTGGCTGCCAGGGTAGCTACCTTTTAGCCCAGTGCCAGAGTGACACAAGGTGGAAACACCAAGGAGACTGAAGAGAAGGTCCTGTCAATGGGCAGCTGGGAAGGCGGCCACACTTTCCTGGGTACTCGTTGGGTAAAGGAGATACTGTGAAGCGCGTGGATGTCTCCCCACCCAAAGCTTTCCTTCTAACCATCAGGACTTAATGTGAGAGACGGAGTCCACGCTCTTAATATGCCGCATGTGCTCACTTAAAATACTAGTTCAGAATCACAGTTCTGACAAAGAAATTTGAGTTGCCTACTTAGTAGGATCTCTGCATTCCCTCGTTAGATCCTGGGACCAGCAAAGCTAAGGAGTAGGAGGAACATGGAGCATTCCACATCGTGAGAACCAGCACAGGGAAGAAAGCTGAGAACTGGGAGGTGCTGGCACACCATGGGACTCAAATCAAGTTCAGGTAACTGAAAAGGTCAGAGAGCCTACTTATAGGCTCAGGGGGAAACTGTGGGCTTCTCTATGGATTGGGGACCATTTTGGAAAAATCCTAGACTGAGATTTGTGGTCTGATGCAGGACAGCAAGTTCAGCAGATGTAATGAATATGGGGGAAAGCTGAGGACCCCCCCCCCAACATATTTCACGCACTAGAAGGGGAACTGAGGGCAGAGGAGTGGAGAGTCATTTGATGAGACTATTATCGACTCTGAAGTTCACATTCTGGAAGACTCCTACTGCACCTGAATGAGTGAAGAGGAGTGAGGCACTTAAGAGTTTCTGAGAAAGGTCTGTATGGATCTATGCATTAGATTAACGGCCCCTGGGGGTTGGTTACAAGGCACAAGAACACTGAGAAGCTTAGAGCAACAAAAACGAAAGTATTACAAACTGAGCTACTTACTCTCCAGGTAAGGTGTAAACTCTGGTGAATTCCTATAGAGAGGATCCCCAACAAAACCGGTGTTATTTGAGTTCTTGGGCAAGAGGGAAAGGACCCTTGCGGAGTACGTCTGGTACACATCCTGAGTAATCTCATCGGTGAGATCACACTCTGTATCTGTTATGGAGAAGCATTTGCTTTTCCAGTCTCCTAATGCAGAGCTAAAGAAAGGAAGGAAGAAAAAGAAATGGCAGGTTGTAAGCTTCATCCAACAAGACAGACTGTTTGTGATTGTGGTGGTCTGTACTAGGCATGAGAGCATCCCCAGTCAGTCTTGAGGAGGCACTCTCTATGCTGAGTGCATAAGGTGCATGCACGCGTGCGTTCCCCACAGCAACCTAAGAGCAGGCTCAGTAATATCCCCGACTTTACAGATAAGGCAACTAAGACCCACCTGCTATCACAGTCTATTTACTATATCATATCATGTACTATGTAGAATGGATTAGCCTCCCGAATAGCTGGTACTACAGGCATGGCAGGCACCACTGTGTCCAGTTTATTCTAGGCCTTTTAAGCAGGTATTTCATTTAATATAATTCTTCTAAGAAGTTGCTAGACTTTTTTTTTTTTTTTTACATGTAGATTTGGAGGCTCACAAACGAAAGGTCACGTGACTAAAAAGGGGAATTGCTGTCTGTTTGCTTTGTAACACTGCATGCTAGACGTAAATATGAGGTGTGAATACATCCCACCAAAGATTTTAGAATAACAATACAGGTTGTATTAGCCTAACAAAATCTGACACTCCAAGGAAATGATTTCAAGAACTTCTGCTGAAAATGAAATTCTTCTAAAGGATGAAAACAATCACAGGTTGTGTCACTGCCACTTGATCCACACATTCAGGTTCCATGCAAAGTGACCAGCTCACTGCTCTGGTGTTCAGTGTTATCCTGTCAGAGTACAGCCCATCACTCAAGGGCAGGCTCCAATCCTGCTTCTTTCAGGAGTCTCCACATTACCTTAGCACTCATCTCTCCCTTTTTTGTCACCCAGCCCCAAATTGACACGAAAGCCCTTAATATAGCATGCTATCTTTGTACCAAGGGTCTTTGCTCTTGTGCTCTCTGCCATGCAGCAGGGCTGTAGGGCTTTGCTACATGTGAGATATTTGTCTACTTTTATAGGATGAATAAACACAGCATAGGGTGAGGGTCTCCTTATAAATTCAGTTGTCTAAATCAATGCCCAACAGCCATAACTGTATATTCTTTAAAACTCTGAACAAAATAACCAGCCTAAAAGGATCTAGGTAAGCACATTCTTTATTCTAAAATTCACAAACTAAGACTGACACTGGGATATTTTAGTTTCTTATGTTTTACATTTTTTTCTGTGATAAACACAGAGAAGCTATTGTGGTCCAGAATGACTAACATATTTCTTTATTATATCTCTTCCATGACAAAAAGTGAATGGGAACTTGATTCCTCCACCACTATGGCAAAGAAATTGTTCAGTGGCCAGGCTCTGCAGTGGGCACAAACTTCTGCAAGATGCTGTATCTGGTTCCTTCCAGCTCATAAGCAGAGACCACAGGCCCTATGGCAAAATTTAGCAGGAGTGTCTGTATCATTCTAAGTAGTGAAATTGTATCAACAGGTGACAAAGGGGCAATTCTCTAGTAAGAGGCACTGTCAACAGCATTAGCACTTTAAAAACCATCAAGATTTCTGAACGTAATACAAACCCTCAGATTTGCAAATAATAAAAGTTCCTCTTGAATTACTAAAAACTTTCCAATAGAATATATACTGTCACTAATTTAGCTGGCAGGTTTTCTGGAAGCTTTGTAAATTTGGCTTTAGAATAGAGAACATTCCATGGAGTCAGTATTACAGGTGATGATTGGGTACTTAGGCTTGAGCCAAGAACACCTCCCAGCTGAAACCCACTTCCTTGGGGGAAATGCATCGTGAGGGGTTGCAGTGGTGAGGGTAGTGGGTGGAAAAGGGGGCGTAGGTTAGGAAAAACAAGGAGGGAAGGAGGTCCACAGAGGAGACAGGTGCCAAGGCTTTCCTCTGTCTCCTAGCACCTGGTTCGCTTGAAGAGGTGGCAGCACAGGGTACTGAGGAGACCGTGGTTCTAGTCATTACAGACTCTTACTTTCCAGAGCAAATTTCTTTACCTAGAGAATGACTGCTACAATCCTCTCAGCCCAGAAATCCCCGGAGAACAGTATGGTCTCAGGCAGAGGCTGATGGGTGTGATTTGAGGCCCTTCAGCTCAGCAGCAAGAGCATGGGGAAATCATCCTGGCTTACAGGGAACCAACCCATACACATATTTCCATTTGTTGTTGAAACACAATGAATGTATTTAGGAGGCCAGCATGCCTTCTAAAATCTAACAGTCACTATCCAGAAAGAAAGTGTGTCTCAAGGTAAATTTCAGATCTGTATCAAAGAAAATTACTAATTCTCAACTTTTAAAATCTGAATTCACCAAGTTTATCCATAATTGTAATACTGTAATCATGATCTCAGGCTATGAAATTTCTCCCCCCCTATATCTAGATATATATGATATATTATATACATAATTATTTATATCTGCACATATATAATTAGCAATTAGAATTAGTAATTATTTTCTTTAATACAGACATAAAGTTTACCTTAGGAAATACTTTTCATACACACAAGCGCACACACAGAAAAAGGGATACACACACACACACACACACACACATACATATGGATGTGTGCACACACACAAATCCTCTTCCCAGTTGGTTTGACAACAGTTATAGAGTTCATTTTGAAAAATAAGAATGACCACCTAAAAGACCCACCCTATTCCTACAAGTTGCATTCAGTATAAAAGGTTTGACACAAGCTAAAATAACAGAACAGCAAAACACGATTGGCCAGTAATACTTTTTTGTGTGTGTATTCAATTAATGTTAAAATAATTTCTCCAGAGCAGGGGATTTAGCTCAGTGGCTCTGCCGCCTGCCTTGCAAGCACAAGGTCCTGAGTTCAATCCCTGGTTCTCTAGTCACTGTACTCTGTTTCTTAGGATCTCTACCAAGCCTCCAAGAACATTTCAGAAACCAAAAGCTTGCCAAGAATATGGCACAAACCATCAAGGAAAACATGTTACACACTCTGGACACTGAGACTGATTATGCTGAATGATTGGCGCCTGGGGAGAACAGAGCTGTCAAGCAGAGATGAGGCTTCAATGAACAAACCACCCCCAGACAGAGGAGGCTATAGATGATGGAGTTGCTCTCTGGTATTTCTGCACTCTTCCCTGAGTCAGGAATTGGCTTCCTCTGAGATCATGTATACAACCAAATTTTAATGCAGAGCCCAAAGATGAATGAATCAAACACTGCTTAAGGGCAATGTATATATTGGAATTCCTCTCTGATTCTTGCCTAACATGTTCAGTGTAGCTCACAGTCTAGACAGCTTGGCAGAGGAAAAAGGATGTTTGTCCTTAAATGAGCTTAGTTGCTACTGATCCCAATGCATTCTATCAGCGCCTGCTTATGAGGATTCACCTCAACTCACCTCAGCTTATACTCCATTTACAGATTTTCCCATCATTTCCAAAAAGAGTTAAGATGTTATACCAACTTAAGGTCTAGAAATGTCGAAGGCTTGACAGAACTAGACACTGGACAGCAAATTACCATAAATGCTCTCTTCTTTGTTGTTGGCTAAATAATTTCATCCAACAATCAGATTTAAAAATATCCATATTCAGCACAAGGAACTAGAAACATCAAAAACCTCAATTCATTCTCTCCCTTTCTCTCTTTCCCTTTCTCTCTTTTGGACCTAGCTTACCTTATCTGAACAGTGTAGACATAATTGATGGGTTTGGGTTTCCACTCCAAAATTGTCTTGAAATTAGTTGATCTCCAAGTTAAATTATATGCTCTAACTGGAGTGCCTTCGAACAACAGAGAAACAGCTATTATTACATGCACTTCTCAGCCTATGACTTTGTGCTGAAGTATACACCTCATCAGCCTCCCATCACCATAAACTTTACATTTTTGTTTTCAATCACAAAAGCTTTGCTACTGAATTATTAATAGAAAAAAATCTTCAAGGTTTTCCTACAGCCAGAATATCCTCCTAGCAAGATCCACCCTGTAATTCAGGGAAACGGGTAAGGAGCTGAAATCCTTGTTTGCTGTTATTCCTGAGGAAAACCCTGAACGACTTGGCCAAGGAGAAGCACAGCCCAGGAGCCATGAACGCCACAGGGCATCTAGGAAGGTCAGGACTCAGGCTCAGCTTATGTTGGAAGGCTGGCTAGAAGGTTTTCAATAAGTTAGGAAAAGGACAAATGCCTGAGTGAGGAGAGTTAGGGATGCATACAAACGAAAAAAGTCAACGTGACCTTTTCCACTTTTACCTAAAACGTCTTTTACACTGAAACTTCCACGGAGACCAAGGTGGACCAGTGTGGCCCTTCACACGGTTAGTTAGATGTGTTCGGTTAAAAGCCTTCACCATTCTTAGGTCTCAGTCTCTGCTTAGGTCAAACACCAAAGAGGCCTGGAGCCTGAACAGTGTGGTCCAATCGAAGCAACATTTTGCAACAAGATTGTTTCTACCCAAATCTAAAAGATCACCGAGACTAGGGATGTTCTTTATTAAAGGAAAAGGCCCACGTGAAAGATAATGTCCAAGCTGTTCAGGGCACGCGGAGCTGTGCAGATATGGATCCACTTCCCACCACCTTCAAGGTCACAGTTCTGTGGAAAGCTCTTTCCTCAAAGTTAAAGCGGGAGCCAAGAATCCACTTATGCAACAACGGGTGCACCTAGCAAACATCCCTAACAGAAGGGGCAGCAGGTTTTCCGGCCTCGATACCTCCCGCAACTCCCGCCCGCCCTTGCGCCTCACAGCACGAGTTCATTCAAACGCACCCAGGTAAAGCTCTGGGGAACCACGGGGGGCGCGAAGAACCAGGGCACCCCGCTGTCAGCCAGCACCGGTCCCTTTCTCCCACGGGCCCTTTCTTCCCGAACAGGTGCCACTCACCTTCAGCACGGGCCACCCGGGCCAGGACCCAGCCGAGCAGGAGCGTCCGAGCGACCGCGGTCTGGAAGCGCGGGAGCTGGAGCCAGGCAGGGGTCGTCATGTCCACGAGCTGGCGGCGAGGTCGTTCGGATTCCGCGGTGCCTCGGAGGCTGGGGAGTTTGGGCTGCAGTTACCCCGGGGCGCAAGAGAGTGTTGGAGGAGCCCAGAATCCGTCGGAGCCCCTGGCCCGAGCGCTATAAAAGGCGGCGCGCACAACCGCGCCTCTCAGCTCTGGCGCCCGCTCCCGGCGCCGCC